AGCCATTATTGATTTCAGTTTTATTAGTGTTTCCTTATTTATTTTTGTTTTTCAAATGCCAAGTGTTTCTCTACACAAATGCTAAGTCAAGTAGTTGAGCCAAAATTATTTACAGAAAGGAAGTACATGTGCATGTTACAGGCTTATTTCTTTTCCATGAGAATATTATACAAACCAATGTCCTGCACTACAAAAACTTATTACTATAAGTTTTGTAACAGAGGTATGTAGTGATGTCTAACTGAAACATGTAATTGGAAAATGCTGTTCCAACTGCAAAGCCTGGGCAAATTATCCCTCTTTTGAACACACACAAAAAAGAAAAATCAGAAAAGAATTCTGATGCATCTTACCAAATTTCAAGAGGACTTGTGAGTTTATAATTATGACAATGATCAAAGTGAAGAAAATCATTGTATAATTTACATTACTGGTGGCTAAGAAACATTATTACAGAACATGAAATTATTCAGTGCAATCAGTGGTTTCCCTGTTAAAGTAATACTTACTTGTATGTTTAAAACATTTTTTATAATGGGAAGTATTTTGCATATAGTTTGTGTTTATATATCAAATAATAACCCTGACCTTTGTCCCATCAAGACCTATTATATGATGGAAAACGTTTCTTGAATTTGTGTATTTTATTGAAAACTACCTATTTAAAATGATGAACTTGAAGTAGCAGATCTCCCAAACAGCTTTCCAGTTTGTTTTTAATTTATTACTACAATGTTTTTAACTTCAATACACATAACCTTAAAGAAAAGTTTAAAAAATGTTTTATCTAAGCTTCTTGAAAAAAAATGCAGAGTTAAAAATCACTCGGAAGGTAACTTTCATAATGTTCTTTCAAGGAACATTAAGATACTTTGTTTGATTGCCTAAAATACTTGATAAACAAAATAAAACAAAAAAAATATATATATACATACATCAATAATGTTTTCCAAACTAAAACCTATATTTTGTTGCTTTTTTTTATATGAAGGTACTTTAAAACAAAGTCCTAGCAATTTGGAAATGCTCATAACCTTAGGGGTATTGAATGAGAAATGAGTTTTTGTGCAATTATCATTGTAGCAGTTTCATATTAAATGCAAAACTACTGTGAATTCACAAATTAAAATGTCAATCAAGCACTCATAAATTAATCTTGATTTACACATAAAACACAAATTCAGAAGAAAAAAATCACTTATTGTACATTTTTTTAAATTTAGAGTATATGACTTCTACCACTTAATTTTTTAATAAATCCAATCACATAACCTAACCCTTATACACTGGATACTTTTGGAGATAAGAGTGAATCATCAAATCCCAAATATCTAATAACAAAAAACCATTTACAACCTGCATCAGTATAAGTGCTTTAACAGATTCTGGGTTTATCTTTAATCAACATCAGACTCTTTTGAAGATGGAAAACTTGCTTGAAAGGAGATAATCTGTTGAAAGTGGAACAACTCAATGTTGTTTCTGTAGAAAATAGTATAAAATACTTCATTCCTTCATCAAGTACATACAAACTTTACAGACATCACACAACTGTTCCTCTCCTTTTAATGAAAAGGGCCTTTTACTATCCCTGAAACTTGTTAGATTATTCTGGTATGTATTGCATCTAAATTTTAAATGTTTTGTTTCTTAAATTAACATTTTGCTAATTCTACATTTATGCAATAATCTGTTATGATCACTTTGACACAGATTTTTAACTCAGGATGTCTTGTTATATAAAGGATCCAGACTCTCCAATAAGAAGTCTTCATTACCAAAGGAGCATCCACTGCTGAAATCATCCTAAAAATCAGATAAGCACAAACGTTTATTTTGCTGAAACCTCAAAATTTTGTTATATGTCACTTGATTCAAGTACATTAATTAACATAGCAGTTACACATACAAGACATACTTATGAAGAAAAATGGTGGTCTTTTTAAAGTAAATTAAAAAAGAGGTTGAAATGTAATAAATCTTTTAACACTACAAGGATTCTAGAATATGAAATTCACAAATAGTAAAAAATAGTGACACCTATAATTCTGTATTTCAGCATGCATGTAGCCAAATATTCTTATACTGTGTTTACATAAATCTCAGGAAGCATCCTTACAGACCCCTGCTCCCAAAAAAACAAACAACATTCTGTGTTTTAATGGAAAATTTCCATCTCTGCCTTACTAATATTAGTTCTGTTATTTCTAAAAACCACAACTTTACAGTCAGAAAAAAACTTCTAAACCTTCAACTTTTGAATAGCAAGCATTATCTGTACAAATAAAATATTCTACATAGCTGCAATGCCAAACACTATGAAATAAAAATGTTGTTAAACAGGCTGTGCAGAAAGTTAAGTAAACAATATTAATTACATGTATTAGAGAGGAGCACTGAACTTATGCTACAATGACTACTAGAATTCCATTAGATCAACAAAAGTGCACTGCAGAATACATGAAATATAATGTAATGGGCTTCAACAATTCATAAATGAATTTGTTAAGTAATTAATTTCCAGATGTCATATATTTAAATAATAATGGTTCACTATTCTACTGACAAAAGAACTTAAAAAACAGCATAGAAAAAGGAACAATATTTATAATATACTAATGTGTCTAGAAATAAAATATGATTCCAAACTGACAAAAATGCAAAACTTAAAATCAAAGTATTAATCTTCATGTGATATATCAATTAATAAACACAGGGAAATAGAAAAAAAATGAAAGAAGATTTAGACTTCAAAAAGAGGCTGACAGACAATAGGTATAAAGTCTTTTTTTTAATTTGTAGGTTTCCCAGTGCCTTGAATATAAATATAGGTTTTGCAAACATATACATACATACACAAATATATAGTTGTATAGGCTTCTGTGTTATAAGTGTTGTAGCTTAGCTGGCAGTAAGAATATTATGTAAATGTTGAAATCCTATGTACCTTTCAGTGAAAATGTACAACTTTGAAATATGTACAAGCAGTGGGAGGAGATACGAGCTTTACCCCACAATTTGTAATTGTTTAGGTAAATTATGAAATAAAAATGGACTTTTAAGCTTTGCATGTCAAAAATATAGGTCTTACAGCTTATATAGACTACTTCTATAAATACATATGTTGACTTTTAAAAAATAGGCTTCTTACAAGTTTTATTGATAGTATAGTCCCACTTGGAAGGTTTGAATTTCTTATGATTAATAATGGAATAGTTTGTATCAAGTTAATTTCCTGTTATTTATTCATATTTTACTAAGGAGCCTAGTACATGTTACATTTTAGGTCTAAATGGAACCTGTGCTCTAAATACATAAATACACCATAAATCAGAATACTAAGCTATTACATATACATACCAAAATAGCCTTATCTAGATTGAGAATTGTGAGCATGTTGGATTTGAATATGCAAATCAGTTTAGCAGGTACTTAGCTAACTAAGCTATCATGCCTCAAATGTCTCAGTTCCCATGACATAGTGTTAAAGATGGACTTTGATAGATCAGTGTGCCATTTGTAAAAATGCTACTTTACATGTAATTTTAATGTATTTTTTACTCAAAATACTGAATATCACAAAATCATTATGACTAATATAATGCAATGTCTGGTTATTAAAACGAATGATTATATTAAACAGAATATTTTGAATTAAGTGCAAAGGTGAAGAGTAGATAAATTCATAGACAGATTTGTTTCCTGTTAATAATCTAAGTAAATTGAAAATAAGTTTAAATACTGGCATAGTCACATTAGGTAAAACCATCTGTCATCTGATATTATAAAATTATGAAGAAAAATTCCATATAATTTTTAAATAAACAAAACTTTTCTCACCTTCATTTCTGATATCCTTTTATCGAAAGCTCCAATACCATTATCCAGTTCTTGAGGCTTTAACTCAAAAGAATTAAATTTTCCCATTCCAAATGGATCTTCAGCAACATTTGTTTTACTTAAATGAATAAATGGTTCTGCTCCAAACAAATCTTTACTTTTCTCAGTTTCATCAGATGACACTTGACAGGAAAAAGAAAACATTAAACATCAATAATAATATGATAGTATGATTTTAAATTATATGTTGATTTGAATATCTAAATTCTTTAAAGCACTTAAATAAATGTATTTAGAATTTTAAACCTAAACAATTACTTATTTAACATGAGCTAAATGGCCAAGTCAGAGGCCCACCCCTAGGATTCAGGTACAATCATATCTGATTTTCAGTTACTGACCTCAAGGAAGGAAACAGCTAGCAACATCTCTGTTTCTACAAGAGCTTAGTCTGACTCATTGAATAAAATACTAAGATTGGCTGTAACTTTTATAACATGCCCACCACTAAATGCGTGTCCAACAGTATCCCATCCTTGACCCTTCACTCTGAGGCCTGATACAGTAACCACCCACGACAGCCCTCAATTAAAGTTCACAATGTGTTAACATCACTAAGATTTAATGACTAGAAACATTTTCAATTACTAGGTGTTGTTAATTCAAGTATTTGGGCTAAAACCAAGTATTCACATGAGTGAAGTATGTGTGCATGTTACAGGATTTGTTTGTTTTCTTGAATCAAAAATTATGTTATTGTTATCAGTTTAATAATAGTGTTAAATAAATATGATATGAATTCATAAAGGGAAACGAAAAAATCTGTGTGATGGTTTTAAGTAAAATTTACAAGATTATATTTATGGTTAATAATCTCAGTGTTTTTTGTTTTTTTAAGCAGGAGCATAAACATATATATTTTATTAAAAACATAATTTGCAACACTCATCCAAGAATTTATACTGTCTATTTAAACTTTTATTAAGAGTTTTTAAAAATAAATATTGGCACATGTAATTGATAACAAAATATGTCTAAAACTAAAAACTTTTCTTTATAAAAAAAAAATTACATTCGAAATTACAAAAGACTCAAGTTTCCACAATGTTGTGACAAAATAAACATAATGTATAACATTCCTCTTGTTTATTAAATATCCAGACCTATTAAAATCAATTTTTCATTCTGTAATGTGTTATTTTCATTGAATTTTTTATAATGATAAAAAATAATCATTTAAAAAAAAACAAAAAAACATCCAAACTCACAGTAACCTAAAACATGGGATACGTCAAAATTCTAATAACCTAAGTTTCATGTAAATAACATAATCATAATTCCCCAACTAAGCAGTACTTTGAAAATGAAAGCCCTTTACTAAAATATATATACAAATACAAAAAGAAGAGTAAAAATGCTTTAACACACAAAATGGTAGCTTTACCTTGTATTTGCTCATTTTGAATATGATTTATCCCATTAAGTGGAACAGGTTCAGTTCTTGCATTAAAGTCTCCTGTGTTATGAAAACTGAGGTTTTCTATTGTATCACCAACATGTGTTTGTAAACCAAAATCAGATAGCTCCATCGGAAAAGTCTACAAAGAAGTTCACACAAGGGTATAACATAAATGTTTTAATTTAACATTGCATTTTGTATTAGTAAAACCTTAGCAATGCAAGTGAAAACAGATTATGATAGAAATAAATTATCAACATATTAATTCAATGAATAAATCATTTAATAATATTTCTTGAATATTAGTTAACATTTTCCTTACTTGAAAGTGTGTTTGAAATAGATACTCACCCCTCCACGAAATATATAGCTAATTCCTCCCACTATTGTCAAAAAGTTGTAGCATATGTGTCAAGTCTTTAAATTAAATTCTCACCCTTACATATGATAATGTATACTGCATCAGTCTCTGATGTAATCAACATTATACTAAACCCTTCCACCAACACATCCTCAATGTGCAGTACTTTCATTGAGCAATTTATGTATACCAAAAGCTCATTCTTGATGAAGCAAAAGACACACACTGGAAGTGGAGAGGAAGAGTGCATGGTTCCATAGAGAGGTGAATATCTATCTGAAATACATTTTCAGGTAAGACAAATGTCAACTTCAGAAATGCTACTTAACTTTCTATAGAACAAATAGCTAAAATCCCACACTGAAAGGATAGTGCAGGAATAAGTGCAGATAAAAAAAACTTAAATGATGAGCTCCTTTCTACTAAGAATATAGTGAGAAAGAGAAACTCATGGAATGTGCCATACATACTAGTAGAGTGTGGGGGATGGGGAGGAACTAGTGGGAGCATTACTTAGTGGGAAAGTGGATCCATTTCAAGTGGTAAAAAAGAAAGGTAGTCAAAACAACCTCCTGCATGGTACTAAAATGTTGCAAAAGTATATGGAATGTGATGATTACTCAACTGGTCTGTATATTTCAGGGAGTTGGCAGTCTATGTATATGTAATGTGGCTAGAGCAATAAGTCAACCCATACAGTATGTGAAAGATACATAAAATAAACTGTCTGGATAAATCATTCCAGACCCATATTCTAAGGAAAACACAGACAGTTGTTTACAACAACTGGAAATTGTCTAGTTCATGGACTAGAGAATGAATGGCTTCTACTACACTTCCAGATAAACATCCATGCCCAATTTCTGAACAAGGGATGCATCTGTTTATTTCATACCAGTGGGATTGCACCACACCAAAGAGGAACTCTCCATATTGACCTTCCCAACAGCTTGGTAATATAGAAGAACGAGTTCTCCCACATCACAAGAAGAAAATAGGAGGGAGGCATTCATATAGGGAGAACACCAGAGAGGTACATATATACCTAACAGGAATTATCTATCATCTGCATATGTTCCCACACTGAGATACTGTACAATTGAGTTATCATGGCAGATGAGCTTAACATTTTCTGATATCTCCTACTCAACACATATATTGGGAGAGAGTAAAGTATTGCCTGTGAGGCAACACTAGCCATGTGATGGGTTCCATTGTACCCAATGTATACACACAAACGTTCACATATATACAAATACATATTTTTGAGTTTGAGTTGGTTGCTCTTCTGTGTGGAATCTGCAAGAAAAAATAAATAAACAATTCACACCTTTAGAGCCCTTTGGAAGAATGGCTATTGGAGGGAGACAAAACCCAGAGATAGAAGAAACTGTGAGGTGGTGAAAATAATGTAATATTAAGGTAACATATACCCACCTGCAATATCACAATCAGGAGATATGACAGACAGACAGATAAAAGAGAAGAAAAGCTCTGAGATTATAACATTTATAGGCGGTGACATGAAAAAGATGAAAATAGTCCACTTGAATAAAGGAATATATAAGCCAAATGAGTTACTTAAACAATCAGTCAAGGCAGAAGGAGATAAGTCATGAAAAGAATAGAATCCCATGGAAAAAAAAATACTATGTTGATTACCTTGTAAGGGAGCAAAAACAGAAAAAAGGAGAGGACAAGGATCTGAATGATCATTTAGATAAGACAAAGAAGGGAGGGTTATTTGAAAAAACATCCAATTACCTTTCTGAACAGTCCAAGTCTTTGGGAGGAATAATGGTCTGGAAAAAAAATCAACTTGTCCTTGGAGTAAAGAATGAAGGAGATGTCCAAATCAAAAATATCAGAGTGATGTCTCTTGCAAGAGAGAAGAAGAAAGTTTGGTATCAGAGAAAAATGGTACAAAGAATAGGTGGCCAAAAGTATAAATGTAGGACATGTAAGAGCTCTGAGAGCTAAACACAGGTTCCAGTAAAGAAGAGTAACCAGATGAGGAGGATGACTGATTAGAAAGACTTGGAAGATGTCCATAAGAACAAGAGAAAGAAATGGAGAATGGCCAGAAAAATATCACAGTCATCAACAAAGCCATACTGTAATAGACGATCAAAGAAATGGATACACCACCCTTGAAAAGTCAGGAAAATTTGTAAGTGAGATGTGGAAGAGTTGAACAAATGGTCCAGTATTTACAAATCCTACATTTAGGGTGATAAAATGCAAAGAAGGAGCAAGAAAGAAAATGGGCTACTCTGCAAGAAAAATCTGACTGCCTTGCAAGAGACTGTGACAATCTGACTTGAATATTTCATCACATATGGGTGTATGTGGTAATTTGTAACTTTGTTATATTTATTACTGTTGAAAGTTTATCAAACTACAGTAAAGCTTCACAGAAGATACAAATAGTATTCTGCAAATTATACATGCATCATAAACTAAACTTATTCAAATACATTAAAATTCAAAACAATTAGTACCTCATTACGACACTTCTCATCTTCATCAATTTTGTCTTTTGAAGATTGCAATTCTGAAATTTTCTTATTTAGTTCAGCATTTTCAACTTCCAGTTCCTGTACCTGGATTTATTCAGTGTAAAGAAACACCTGTTTAAAGTGTCACAGAAGTAACTCAACACTGAACAATCAATACAATATGATTTTTCAGAGCTGTTATACAGTATAATTTAGAGATGATACCATTTATATGCTAATAAATCAACATCAGTAACAAGTTCCTCCCCTCAATAAAAAAAATTAAGAGTAGTATGTTATAACTAAATTGTTCTTTAATCAAAACAACAGAGATAAAATGAAAATATACTTTACATGCATTATTAATTTGCTAATCACAGTTAATGAATCAGTATCACTGAAAATATAGAACTAGCTACAACCCAAGTAACACAAGTTCAACTCAAAGTACAGACATGTCTGAAAGAATATAACATATTGCAAGAAGAGATACTTCTTGTGAGTACAAGGCCTTTTATATTACTAATGCCTGCACCTGTGAAGTATACTTCTGATCAGTTCACAAGTGGCATTATGTATGTGCATTTGTGTGTTGGGAGGGGGTTTCCAATCCTGTTGTTCAATCAATGCATCAGCAGGCAATAAAAACAATAACATATTATGGCAATGCTGTACAGAACACCCAAGAAAGTCTAAAGATTTTCTATGAGATTTTTTTATCTTAATTAAATCACTTGTCCATATTATGGCTATACTGTACATGCAACTACATTACATTATACTATAAAATACTTTATTCTACCCCTAGAATTAATTCTTTGCTGTGATTGGCCAAGAACAGATCACTTGGCCTGAAAAATGTTAAATGTTGCCTTGAAAAGCTGGTCAACATCACATCAATATTACCTGGTTATCAATACCACTGTCATTCATGTGTGACATAGTAGCAGAACTTTGCAGACAATTTTTGCAGCACAGAGAAAACATGATGATTCATTTAGACTTAATTTACAAACAATGTTGAAAATCTTGCCAGCATTCTAGGCACATTTTCGTTGAAGTTAAACAGATGCATACTTTATACATTTATTGGTATGACCAAATTATGATGGGCTGTTATATTTTGAAAAATAATTTCTAAATCTTACTGATTTATTATTAATTCCCAAAACAAGGTCAAAATCTTCAATGAAATATTAAATTAAAATACAGATGGAGGCTCAAGGATGTAAGTTAAATATATTATATGATAGCACTATAATTAATCAGATTTTAGTAAAATTGAAAACAGAAGGTGGGAAGGGTAGAATAATTATTAACTGGTAATTTTGAGCAACAGGTCATTAGTTGCCCTTATAACCAGTCAATAATTGTTCAATATAATACAGAAGTTAATTCACCTTTTTTTTTAAGATCATGTAATTTTTCTTCATTTCCATGTCTCTCCCTGAAGAATCCATAAAACGGGAATATGCCAAATCAAAGGCTTGTCCAATTGTTAGAGTTATTTCTTTTGACTGAAAATTAAAAAGTAAATACAACATTATTACTTCTACACTATCACAAAAACAAATGGATAAACTGCCATTAACAAATTTCAAAATAGAAAATAAAAATATGATTTCAAATTACAATTATATATATATTCATGTATGTATAAAATGATAAAAATTAATATACACTTTGACAGAACTTACCCGTTTGTTGCTAAAAAAGACAAAACAACTATGTTTTCCAGTTTCTTCTTGAGCAATAAAACTGATGAACCTTTTGTCTGTATTGTCATCAGCACAATAAGATATCCGATGAAGAGGATGTCGGTAGAAAATTTCCTTTTCATGCAAAAGAAAGCAATAGCAAATGAATACATATTTGCAAAGACTTGATAAAAATAAACTTGTAATTTTCTAAGTATGATACAAATAAAATCTTTTCATTAGCGTACTAAAATGTAGAATTCAAATACAAAACTTGTGCAAGACATTAAAGTAATGGATTTTCTAACTGCACATATACTGATTTTAGCAGTAGTTGAGGCCAACACTTTTCACTAGTTTAAGAAGAGAATCAGTGATTTCCTGAAAAGTAAAGGATGAGTGTTTAAGGACAGCCTTGAAGCCCCTGTTGTCCATAGGTTATGTAATGTTATTTAAAGCAATTTCAATTCTTCAATGGG